AATTATATATAATATATTTTTATTATATATATATATATATATATATATATATACAATTTATTACACTACTACCATAAAATATCCATACCTCTATATAATAAGAATAGGATCGCAAATCTAAATCCCATAGTAACATTTTCATATGATTTATAATATACTGTGATCCTAACTTAATTAGAATCCCATGCTCTTCTGTATCTGATATAGTATGCCTCGTGTAGCCGCGTTCCATGTCATAATTGTGAGTATCGCCATTAAGTAGATAGCTACGCATTTCCCCTTGTAATACTTGAGCACCATGAATCGGATGAGCAACATTCTCATCGACGAGTAGATGGCCACGGTAAGGAAGTTTCGAATTGGGTGTTTGTGTCTGCATGTCTATCGCATCTAACAGCGCATTTGGCAATACTAATTCAGATGATCTTACGACACTGAGAAGATCCGGTAGCGGAATCAAACTCAATCTTAGTTGAGCTGTAAAAATTATTCGCGTATAAACAGCTTTGATTCCGAGGAAATGTGTCATTTAATGTGCTAGTTTCATTCGCGTACGAATATTACCTAGCACTTCGGACGAATCGATATCAGGATTGGCATTGACCCATGATCGTACAGCTGAAAAAATTTCTATCTCTGGTGCACAGAAAGAATCTCTAGAGATCAACTCGGTTAAAGCAGATGAACTCAATTGTAAAAAACTTTCATGCTGTATGACCTCAGATGCATGTATGTCCATATATTCAAAGCAAACCTAATATTGAAATATATATTAATATAATTATAATATAAAATGCCAAATATTAATTATGCATATTACAAATTATAAAGTATATCATAAATCTCATAATAAAAGTACTTTTATCTTAAAATTTATTGTATTATATTATATAGTATCTATTGTTATTATATATTCATGTATACAATACTAACGTTGGTCAGAAATTCCAAATGATATAAAAACGCAGTGTCCAAAATCGAACATATGTTCTTTATATTCAATATCTCTCTGAGATAATCAGATATAGCAGCTTCTAAGTCCATAAATCCATATAAATGTGCTAACCCGAGAATATCAAGGATTACCTATAACAGAATCAAGCAATATAACAACTCTATGTAAGTTAATATCTCTAAATAAATTAATAATCTCTAGTGAGTGTTCCTTAATAAAAAGATAATTTAAAAGTACCTCATCCCGCTCATTAGTAAGAGACATGCGGCCTGTATATATGTACTTAAGCAAACCCTTGAATGCTGGCAACGAGGAGGCAGTCAGCTCTATTTCACTTTGCGTAGACTCCTTCATGCCACCGAACAGGAGTGCCCGAAAATACTCGCTGCGCGCAGCGAGAATGAGTTTGTGACTGCGAAATTTTTGACCCGCGACTACAATGGTAACATCAGCGTACTCCTCTGAGAGGTACAGCGAGCCAATGTCCTCGGAAACAAAGTGAATGTGATTTATTTCACCGGACGACGAATTCAAATGGTGATGCGAGCTCATTTTCGCGATGCGAATTCGCACACGTTTGCGACAAAGCTCTCTCTCCCACTGTGATCAACTGTGGTTTTGACTTGTCACAACATCGGTAATGTGTCACTCACGTGACACTCACAGAACCGAGGCTCCCAAAGGCGAGATTATCGTTCGACGGCGCTTTACAGTGTCAGCGCTTTACACGTCGATTCCCTCGACGAGTCAATACGAATTGAAAGTATAATGTGACAGGAAGAAACCTTGTTTACTATATAAGGGAGGTACATATGTGTACAAGAGTAACCTTGATTGACGGAATTGGTGAGAAACTAAGCGTGTCAGGTGAGATTTATCGCATCTCACGCGATATCGTCGTACGCTACTACCATCGCGAACGCAACTACCATCTCACAGGATTTCCTCATTTGTTTTTATGAGGCGCGTAAAAAAGGAATTCCAGTAATTTTCACTGCCACTATCGTCACTATTGAACTTTTCGAAGCCTATGCGAAGGACAAGCGCATATACGGTCGACGATCGGCCCTGCGCCGTCTGAAGTTAGCGCCGCTTACGAGCAACAAGATTAAATCTACACATAAAACCTGTATTCTATTTAAATAAAAAATTAAAAAAGTTTATTTTTTCTTCTTATTATGTATTATAAACAGGATTTTAATTGCATTATTACAGTAAGTTAGAATTTACAATATTACAATTTATGATACATTTAAGATAAATTGTACATTACGGTTAGTAAAATTATATAAATGTAAAATTGTTGTATATATGTCATAATTAGAAATCATATTTTCTGTCGTGGTTTTTCAACGTTCATAAATCGCACAAAAATTTGGCAATCATCGACGTGTATATGTTACTCGACCGACGACCGTCCGCAACTCACACTTATTTCTCTTACTCACAGTGTGATGGCAGCAGTTGCGCAGTTTCAACTCGGCTGAAACTTTTCGGTCGGAGTTGATTTTGATATGCGCTACCTCGGAGCAACGGAGAAGGAGGAGGAGGAGAAGGAGAGAAAGGAAAAGGAAGGAGCGAGTGTGGCGCGAATATCATATGCGCTATGCTGTCACAGTTGCCGAGGCGATTTTTTCTGCGGTTAGGAGCGACCGCCGTCAGCGAGGAGAAGGCCAA